TATTGTAGTACATATTTCATTTCACTTTTCAATCTGAGTCAACAATCAATAGAAAACTATTTCATGGAACTGTTTAGGAAGAGAATGGTAATAGAAATAGCAAAAATCAAAGTAGTTATTTTTCCCTGTGATGATGATGATGATGATGATGGTGATAATTTTGTAGAACTTACATAATACTATGTTTACTTTTTTTCTAGTTTTTTGAAAATGTCTATATTACATTCAGCTATACTTGTTCATATGCTTGTATATTATATTTCTTAGCGTTAATGAAGTTAATGAAAATACAATGGTTGCTAAAATTAATACCAGATAGATCCATTGCTTACTATATTATGGTGTCCCTAGGAATCTCCAATAACCAATATACTAAGCACTGTTATATAATTTTTTCCAAATTACTTTGTTTTCTCAACCTTGCATTTAAGTAAATAATAGCAAATAGTGATAAAAAATTTAAATTACCCTCCAAAACGAAATTATTGCTTCTAACATATTTATAAGATGATTTCATTGTTGCTTTGTATGTCCCTCCCACACGGTATAACCCTGTTTTCACTGTATTTGATGTTGGTATAATTTATGAAGGGGAAGAGAAAAAACAAATTGTTTAAATAGGGATACAGGTGGACCCATTGCAACAATGAGATGTACAAGACGTTTTGTCAAAAAACTTTGGCGAGGGGTTGGGGGGGGGTTGGAGACGGTGATAGGAAGGGATGGGAAGGGGAAACAAAGGAGAAGGCAACAATCCTTGATAAGAAATGTACTCATAGGGCTGGGAAGGTGTCTCAGTGGTAGAGCACTTGCCTTGCATGCCTGAGGCCCTGGGTTCGATTCCTCAGCACCACATAAGCAAAAAGAAAAAAAGCCTGAAGTGGCACTGTGGCTCAAGTGGTGGAGCACTAGCCTTGAGCTGAAGAGCTGAGGGACAGCGTCCAGGCCCAGAGTTCAGGCCCCACTCCCGGACCAAAAAAAAAAAAGAAATGTACTCATTACCTTGCTCATGTAATTGTAACCCCTCTGTATGGGATTTTCACAATAAAAAAAAAATCTTAAAATTAAAAAAAAAAAAGAAATTATTTTTTGACCATAACTAAAGTAATTGTATTTGATTTGCATCTACATTAATTAACTTTAACACTTCCTGGAAGAGTTAAGCTAATAGTAGACATTAAAAGACCAAATAACTTTAATAAATATAATCACTGAGCTGGAATCATTAAACAAAAATCACTAGCAGCATTTCAAAAGTGTAGATACCTACCAAACCACAAAACAAATTACTGATTTAGTTTTTATTAACATCAGACAGAATTCCCTGATGGAAGTTAAAATTACTTGTCAGAGGTGTACAAGCTCACTAGTTGAACTTATTTTAAAACAGCATGTACGAGCTGTTAATCATGCCTACTTAATGAGTTTTTTTGTGTTGCAATTTTTAAATATTTCCTCAACAATTTATTAGAGAATATAAATACTACTCATCACTTTCTGGTATTTTACTCAAGTGTAATTTTGATCTTAGAAAAGGTCAAGCTGAAATAATTCAAATAATCTTTGTAAGAATATAAATGGTTGCAGACATCCTTGTAAGTTTGAATTCTACTACACTTAAACGATTAGGAATTCATAACATTTTTATCTAAATATGAAAACACTGATTCTTTTTCTTCTAAAGGCTACTAAATATTGAGATGACAACATGACCTATGTAGAATAAAATTTAGCTTAACTTTTATCCTACATTTATTATTATTGTCAGTATTATTATTACTATCTTAAACCTCTAGATTTAAAACTCTCCTCCCTTTCTCAAGACAAATAAAATCGTGTTAGAAAGAAAAAAACAAGACAGATTAGGAAATCTCTATTTTTCTGCAAATCATAGAATGGATGAAGCTATATTTCTTCTTAGTCTCCATCTCCATCTCTGACAAGACGTGAACTTTATTTCAATCACAATTAATGGATCCTTAAATGTGGTAACCTTTAAATCCATGCTTCCTGATTAATCTCTTTATGGCTCTTGGAAAAGAAATAAGAGATTCTGACTTTGTACAGAAAACTAAACAAAAAGAATTTTTCATAGTCTTCAATATGATCAATTGTACCAATAGCCCATATATGTATATATTGTAGGCTTATAGAAAGTATCTCTCAAGATTAACTATATAACTGAACAAGATAGGAATTCATTCTGAAAGTTAAAATGAGGTTACTCTATATATCCAGCCTCATTGTATGATGACAGATACTCTTCTTTCAAACTGAATGTATGTATGGACCTAGCACTGGAGACAACCACCAAATGAAAAAAAGATCCATTAAATATATAAAAGAGGAGAAAGAATAGGAAAAATGATTTCTAAACTGCCAAATAATCAGAACCACTCCATACATGTGATAACATATTTTTTTGGAATATTGTGCTTGAGTCCTTGATGTTTATCTTATAGCTTAATCCCAATCACATGAAGAAATTTAATCAACCAATGGACCTACTACATGTCTCCAAAGCTTTTCAACAAAAATAAACAATAACAAACACAAACAAAAATACTTACAAGCTTTAAAAAATTAAATTTCTAGCAAGAAGAAAAATGTAGGAATAGATAAAATTCCTTTTTTATCACTTCTAGTATCTCACATTTTATCATAGTGAATAAAATTTTATAGAATTTTATAGAACTAGGAACTGGTGCTTGAACTGAGAAAACTCCAAGGAACATATATACAAAAATGGCCTTGATTCTTGTGAAGTTTTCCTAATTCTACCCTAACACTTTTCAAAGAAATTAAAATTTCTAAAGATAGAGTTTGGCAATATTCCTCACTTAATTGCATAGTGTGAATGTTTGAATTGGAGTCTGGTATAAAATTATGCCATCAAATCATTGTCAATCTTTATTTTTTTAAACTTTCTTCTTCTATATTATGCCACCCATATGGTTTGGTAAAATCTTGGAAATCAAAATAGATAGGGAAAGCTTGACTCATATAAACAAATACAAAGCCATAATCCTTAAAAGAAAGCAAGGCAAAATTTCCATGACAAAAACTAACACCAATGTAGTTATGTTAAATATAACTAAAGGGGATGCTCTGGTGGATTTCTGTAACTTTTACATTGATTACAAGTGTTATTACTGGTAGACATGAAGTTGGAAGAAGTGAAATTATTAGAAGATGTAATGGGAAAAAATCCAAAACAGTGGAGTACAATGTGTGTGTGTGTGTGCTCACCTATGCAAGATCACATTCAATGGAAAATCTTTGGAAAAATAACTTTTTACTGAATGGATAGGATATGAATTTATGATTATATCCTATGTAGATATAATGTGTCCCAATAGAACACTTCTTAATAGATGGGGTGTTAAAAATAGAAAAACTAAAATAATAGGAAATGCACTCATTACCTTGCTCATGTAACTGTAACCCCTCTGTACAGTATTTTTACAATAAAAAATATTTTTAAATACCTATTTAAAAATAGGTATTAACCAAAATACTATGCTCTTCCACGCATCCAAAAAAAGAGAAAAAAGACCAGTGTCTTATATTAAACTTCTTAGAAATCACTTCTTGCTTAGTTTCATTATGATACTGTTTCAGTAACTGCTTGTCTCTAGCAACACCAAAGGAACACAAAGACTCTGGAAAGCTCTTCCAGAAGAACCTGCTCCCTCTTGACCATTTCCCCTCCCCATATCTTTGGTACAGTAGGAAAAATTTCATTCTTAGGACAGGTACTTGTTATCTGGTTGTATCCTATACCACTAGAACAAGAGTTAAAACCATTTTTACAGTTAATTATATTTTCTATCTGATCGCTTTATACTCCACTAGCACAAGAGACACCCTTTTTTTAGAATTAATTGTATTTAATGTATTTATTTTTCTTTTCTGAAACTCCTAAACTGCAGTGCTTCACCCAACATAGTAATTCACTACAATGTCCTTTGTTGCACTGATTTGATGCTACAACTTTCCCCTTTCCCTCCCTCCCTCTTTCCCTTCCTCTCTCCCTTCCTGCTTCCTCCTTTCCTTCTCTCATATTTGGACCCAGTCCAATTTCTCAGTCTGGTCAGATGAGTTGAGCACAGGGAACTCTGCTAGGGAAGGAAAGAAAACCAGTCTTTCCAATAACAGCCCTTGGAAAATCATGTCACAACTGGTCATTTTGTATTAAAATACTGACCCAGTGCCACTGTAAAGTCCCAGTAAGAAGGAGTAAATAGGTCCCACTTCTTTTTCTCTGCTCTCTCCCTATTAATATTTGGACAGAATCGTATTTCTCTCCCCATGACTATATTAGTAGGGTAAAAGGGTTTGTAGTTATGTAAAGCCAGATGAGAAATAAAGAAGAGCTATATGGGTCTTCCTGTAATGGTATCCAACTGAAGAAGCAGGGTTGTTCAGTAAGGCAGTATTAAACATTAGCATATGATAAACAATCATGAATTGACAAAAATATATAATGTCAAATAAAAGCCACAAACATACGCTCAGTAAGTCCTGGTAAGCCAGAAACTCTTTTTAGTTCTGTTTCCTTTGGGCTTTCTCAATTTGTACTCAACAGTGAATTTAGGGGTCTTTGGGGATGTGTTTAATATTCCTCTTCTCTGTGTGTGTATATATGTATGTGTGTTTGATATGTAAAGGATATGTGAATCATATCCGTACACATAGTGTATGATTCAAAATAATACAAAATCTTCTACACCCTTTAAGTGATCTGCTAAATTATGTCACAAGATTAATTTTATCATAGTCTACATTGTACTGAGGATATGTAAAAGAAGGCAGGCAAAACTAAAAATAGTAATGTCAAATGAAGGTATCAGTGTATAGTGAGGACTGATATTTTGAAAGTGTTCTTCTCATAATACCTGTTCTGTTTTTTGCATGCCATTCAACTTGAAAGATGCACACATGCACCTTCATAAACCCACAGAGACACACACATACATGCATGCACAGAGAGAACTTACATAATTTCATCGTTCTGGAATTCGAGCTGCCCACAAGTGTCTTCAAAGTCTTCTCCTCCACCTTTGGCAGTCCCTTCGATGGTTTTATAGGGAACAATAACATTTCCTCGGGCTCCAGATGTTCTCAGCACCTTCACCTCCATAGTGCCAATGCTCTCACTCACGTGGAGCACAGATTCCTCAAATGTAAAGATGCCTGCATGGTCATCATCAAAAATGGTTATGGTAGCCGTGGAGGGTGAACCGATGCAAGCCAGTGTGGCCACATGGTTGGCTTCCAGAATGGTATCTTCTTGAGCGTCAGGAAATACTTTGATGTTGCTGAGATGCACAAGAAAATTTTCATCCTCCTCAAAGATATCATCATCGATGATGCCAACTCTGATTTCCTTCTGGGTCTCCCCAGGCTTAAAGACCACAGTCCCTTCGGTGTATTCATAATCAGAGCCAGCATTGGCTGTGCCATCTTCTGTTCTGAAGTCAACATGTACCGTGTTGGCTAAGTTGCCACCTTGGCGGACAATGGTCAGGGACACTGTACCACAGTTCTCCAAGCATTGGTATGACCCCTGCTCAAAAAAGACCTTAGAAACAGGGTCATTTCCTACCACTTCGTTGTTGACTTCCTGTGTGCTAACTGCCTTCCTTGCTTGGTCAGCTGCATGTCTCTTCAAAATGTTGCCAGCTCCAGTCATTAGGCGAGTAGCTTGAATACGGTAAAATGCTCGACTTTTTTGCTGCTGACTTAGGACTTGATAGTTGGCTAATTCGATTAATTGTTCTATTTCTTTCTCTGGATGCTTCTGCTTAAGCTCCTTGAGAATCCTAGCCATTTCTCGCCTAGCTTCCTCATCATCTTGGTCTTTCTCATCAACTTCAAGAACCAGAGCTCCATCTAAGAAACTATCAACATGAGAGTTGACCACTTTTCCATCCATTTCAATCTCAGTTTTGGAAGATGGCCCCTCTCCTTCATGTTCGATGATTATTCCCCTCTGCTTGCCAGCACGATACCGCTTGTAGACATACTTGTAAAACAGAAGCCTCCTATCTGCCATCCAAGCGAACACCACACAGATGGGAAAGAAGAAGAAAGTAAGCAAACCTTCCCAGACCTCCACAACTCCAGGAGAGCTGACAGACAAAATGATGTACAGCCAGGTATAGGCAAAGATGCTCCAGGCTGCTGTCACAAAGAACACTCGCAAATGCTTGATCTTCCTGTTCTCGCCATCAGGGACCACATAAACACAGATTGCAATGATGATGAACATGTTGAAGGCAGCGCTTCCCACAATGGTGCTTGGGCCGAGGTCTCCGGCATTGAAGTTATGGCCACACACTTCAATGACTGAAAGCAGAATCTCAGGAGCAGAAGATCCCAGGGCCATCAGGGTCAGGTTTGACACAGTCTCATTCCAGATCCTCACAGTCGTCTTGGAGGTCTCTCCATTGGGTTTCTTTATGGTTATTTCTTTCTCTTGAGATGTGATGACTTCTATCGAAGACATGAACCGATCAGCAATGATAGAGACACCGAGGAACATGTAGACCATTGCCACAAAATACACAGTGGCTCTAGCAATTTTGTCTCCAAAAGAAGGTTCTTGGGGCTCCCAAATGGGCAAAATCACCCCTTTCTTACATTCATATGAGCCAGCACATCCACCAGTTTCATTTTTTCCTCCTTCCTTTTCTGTCTCAGCAGTTACAACGTCCACATGGTAAAATAAGAGAGCCAGCAGAGCTAACAGATGAAATCCCATTGAAAACATGGGTGAGAGACTTAAACGCAGCATGGTGTACAAGGAGACTTCCAACTGTCCCAACCTACTGGTAAAAATAAAATGAGGGGAGTGGGTAAAAGAATAAATCACATCATTAGGGCCAAATCTACTGGATGACTAATTACTTATTTTTATTATTTTAGCAAAATTTGTGTATGTTTGACTATCCTCTGGTGAATCATTATTCTGAGAACACATCAGTGATTAAGCAATCTTTCGTAGAATTTATAGTTTGATCTCCCTGTTGGTGAACTTTAAAAAATATATTGAGAGTCCTATTCACTCAGTATGACATACAATTGACTCCTTGGAAATGAAAAAATTCAATTATAATCTGTCCTTATGAGCCACATCTTTATGCATACTGATAGCCAAAAGGTAAAGCAAAACACTTTTCAGCATTAAATAACTTTTAAATCTATGGAGAATACATTTTCTTCAAGAAATTATTTCATTGACAAAAATCACTTTTATTAATATTCATGTCTTGAAACTCAGATTCCGAAATACATTGTCAATACAAAACATGATAACTATTTTAAACTTTGGAGTATACTGTATATAATTTCATGAAATTATGACCTACTTCTCCAAACTTACACGGAAATAAAAGAAATCTTCAGGTCTGCCTGCAATCAAAGTTTAAAGGCCATTAATTCTTGAGAGGGGGAAAAATTCTAATACAGATCAGTATTTTCAGACAGTTAAGTACAATTTTTCCCATTTTGTTTTGTTTGAATGACTGATTTTTGTGCCTGCACTAGAGCTTACCTAGGGCCTTGTTCTTTCTCACTTGGCTTCTTTTGCTCAAAGCTAGAGCTCTACCATTTGAGTAACATCTCTACTTCCAGCTTCTTGCTAATTAATTAGACACAAGAGTCTTACTGATTTTTTTTTTTGTCCTGGGCCTAGCTTCCAACCTTGATCCTCAGATCTTAGCCTCCTGACTAGCCATGATTACAGGCATGAGGCACTAGTATACCTGTCCTCGGTTCATGTTTTCAAAGCATGTTTTGATTTTCGAAAAGTACATTTGCTCCTAATTCAGCAAACCTAAGTTTCTTGTTATATTCACAGCTAAGTATATGTTCTTCAGGTATAGTTCATCACATGTATATACTCATCTGACTTTGCAATCTTGAAGGCGGCGACAGATCCAAGACCCTGACTGCAACAGGAACAGGAGATAACCTGGCCTGGGCTATGGAATTAGGTGTATAATATTCCTTCCTGGTGTCAATTTCTCATTCTCCATGGTCATTCCAAAACATATACTGATTCTTAAGTGAGCTCAAGTGACTAAAAATAGAAGTGTGTCGATTCCATGTAAATTAGCTAATTTACTAACAACAGCGAATGTCACTAACAACAGTGACCACAAACCATACATGTGATGAAGAACTACAGACAACTACATATTTGGCAACAGAGTCACTGAGCATTACAAAGAATGGTAAGAAGCAAAATCATGGAGTAAGCCACCCACGCAGTCCCCTACCAGCTCATATAAAACTCAGCTCAGACTTTACATATCATCTCTGCCCCTAGGGGCCTGCATAGAGTTAAGATTGGTAGAGGAGGGTGTTTTCATCTAGAAGACCTCAAAAAGGAGTGACATCCATAAAGCAAAGGATAGGAAAAGGATCCTGAGTCAGAACAGACTTCAAGCTGGCTAAGAGCTAACCCACCTTTTACTATATTCTATGGCCTATGCTTTCTGCCCATGGCTTATATAGAAACCTGTACCAGGGCCCAGGAGAATCTTTGTGCCTGGTACATCTCAGAAGAACTTCAGAGATCACATTGCTGTCTAACATTTTTATTTAGGCCACAACGAATGGGAAACAGGTTTTTTTCTTTTTTCATTTCTTCCATACTAAAGAAGTCCTTTATAGAGTGTTGGCACAGTCAGTGTCCAATCTAAGTAAAAAAGGCTGACACGTAGAAGAAACATATTTCTAAGGTATACAGTTTCCTGGTCAGTATGCTTATTTGGTTCTATCATCGCAGGATTTGGCAGGGTGGTGTGGGATTTGTTTAAAACAAGATGACATTTGACCAGCCTGCAGGAAGAATGTTACATGTGGTTCCAACACCCTTATATCGCTACATAAATATGAATGGGTGCTTAATGAGAACTTTAGAATGACCTGATCTCTACTCTTTCTGAGACTTCATAAGTGGGCTAAACAAAGTTGCTTGTCTTCACTGGGCTTATAGTCTAATAGGGAGGGGAAAATAAACAAAGTCAAAGGACAGCTAATATAATGTGCTATAGTTTGGGTGTGATATAATCTAAGAACAGGAGTTGTGTGTGTCCATGTGGAACATGTGGTTTTTATCTTGGTTGGACAAAGTAGGCCTCTCTGGCAAGGTAACATTGTCCTAAAGAAAGTGAGCGATGAAGCCTATGGCTATCTGCACCATGACAATCCCAGCCAAGTACAATGGCCCCAATGAACATCAGTGCTTGGCACAGTCCAGTACCACAGAGAAACCAGTGGGGCAAGAAGGCAATTTAGGAACAGGTAGGCCTTAAGAACTAGGGGTACAGTGACAATGGTCATGGTTCATGAGTGGAATTAGAACCTTGGGCTTTGATGGGGTGGAAGATAGGATATCTGATTCTCTTTTAGAAGGCATTTCACTTGGTTCTGTGGAGAACAGATAAATTACAAGGCACAAGAAGACCAGTTCTTGCTTACCATAATAGGTTCAGCTTTATAAATCAATTCAATATCTGGAATTTAGTTAAAATTAAATGGCAAACAGCTAACGTTAAAAAAGGACAAGACACTTCTGGGATGATTCTTTTGCTAGATTTATAACTTAAAATGTTTGGGAACCTATAAGAATTAGAGAGATAAAATATTCATAATTAACATACTGAACAGACAGTAAACACTGAAGAAAGATTCAAATCTGTGTCAGTCTCCAAGACTGATACAATTAACCACTCCGAGTCACTGTCAATCATCATTCCATTTTTTTAAATTTCAGCCAAAATATACTTTTAAAGAGCAGATCCTGATACTCTCATTCCTCTTCAGCCTATTAATTGTCTACTGCTTATTGCCCTGCAGTCAAAATCCAAACCCCTCAATAGTTGGTTCAAGGCCTTTTTATGATCTGACCTCTGAACGCCAGAGTACAGAATTTGTTCCACGTCCTTAATAAGACAGTGCTTTCTTATTTTCAGGACTTTGCAGATTGTGTCTACTGTGCCCCAAACCACTTCTTGCTCTTTTCTGCTTAAAATCAAGATTTGAAAAAGCACTTACAACTCATAATCCATTTCCTAAGAGACTAATACTGGCTTCTCTTTTAAATACTATTGTAGATACTGTATAAATACTTTAGATGTATCAATTATATCTAATATTTATAATAAACTGCATTTCTGTGTTATACAAGTCCTGGTGGTGCTATGTACATCATAGTCCTTGCAAACAGCACCCCCTAGAGTTGTACACTCCACAGTACCCCCCACCCAAACTACATATAATAGGTACTACTAGCCTATTAAAAGAAGGATAATTGGGGTTTAGATAGGTTAACTCTATTTAACATAGTACGTTTTATAATGATCCAAACTCTGTCTCAAAGACGGATAGAATTAGTGGTTCAATTATGCTGTCTCTGATTGTGTAAGAAGTAATCTTTGACAAACATTGGACATGGTCTTGAAGTATCTCACTGGAAAGGCTCTTGGCTTCCATGTGGGGTTAGGAGGCACTAGGTAACAACAACCTTATGTAAGGTTTCTAACAGCCTGACTCTTATCTTATGGATTAAAGAGACTCAAACAAACCAGCATCAATTACTATGATGTAGTACAAGGGTTAGCATGTTCCTAGAGACAGACTCTCTGGCTTTTAGCAATCTCCGGGCAACCTCTTCCTACATGCACTGTCAGGGAAATCTCTCAGGTCAACCCTGCTTCATCCCTGCCTTACACCACATCTCACCATATATTCTTAGGAAAAAGTTTACTAGAGTTAAAAAGGTAGATGAACCATTTTTTTTTTAAATTCATTTTCAGTCTCAGAGGAAAAAGGAAGTCCTTAAGAAATTCCCAATTATATTCAAAAAGCGACAGCATCTTAATTTGTGAAATCTGTAGACACAAAGCACTGATGTAATTTATTGGCAATGAAGCAACTGGAAAGAACTCTTTGGACTTAAGTTGCTTTCTTTATTAAATTAATACAAAATCCAAATGCTTGTGAGGATGTGGGTAGATGTTATCTAACTTTAAGTTCCTTTGTCTGCTTTTTTCAGAGTTTTTCCTTCCAGTGAGAGAAAGGCTCAAATCAGTTCTACTTTATCTTCTCTATCTGCTCCTCAAAGATATTTTCCTAGGAAGAAAGGAACAAAAGCACCTGACTTTCCTTTATACTGTCTTGCTGTAGTGAATGCTGAAACAAGTGTAGGCTGACTTTTAAGGTGGATTCAAAGCAAGTCATGTCTATGGACAGGGACCACCTAGAAATAGCCATGACATCATCCAAATGCACCTTCAGCAAGAATGAAGAACACTTGAATTATCTTCTACTCATTATTTGTTTTAAAACAAAACAAACAACTGCATCACTTACAAATTACCACCTGAGGGAGGAGTTGGGGAGGTGGGGAGGGAAGAGATGGTAGGGGAAAAACAAAGGAGGAGGTAACAATGCTGGATAGAAAATGTACTCATTACCTTACTCATGAAACTGTAACCCCTCTGTACACTACTTTTACAATAAAAAGTATTAAAAGGAACAAATTACCACCTGAATGGTACTAACAAAAGATGGTAAGAAGATTCTCAGCTACCAGTAACCTAGTCACCCATGCTGAAGGTACAGGTCACAGCAAGCCAGAACATTATCAAGTTGTAGTATATGAGGTACAGCCTCCACAGCAAAGAGGCCTGAAGCCTAAGGAGAGTGTAGACTGCCTTATTCTCTGTTGGACGATGTATCCCAGTTTATAACTGTCATGGAGTATCTGACTCAGAAAAGGAGAACATACTGGCATTCCATAGCCCAGGTATTTGACAGC